AAATGTAAGACATTGCCACCCTGCCAAACAGATGTATGGGATCGGCTTTCATGTCTGTTGTTACAACTTCAACGCTAACAGTTGATGTGACGCGTGTAAGCATGACAACAATGCATAAAACATTCCTCTTCATAGATGGGTTGATGTAGTGCCTAATATTTTTTATATTCAGAGAGATGTTTTGCTAGATTGCACATTATTTTTATCTTCAACATATCGGCATGGTTTCTCAATCCATGTGCAACAATTTGTGACCCTAGGAATGTTACACCGGTGGGGGTTTCGATTATGCCGTTCGCCAATCATCGTCTTTGTTTACGTTTTTTGTATTTGGACCAAGCAGGCTTGCACTAGGTTGCACCTATATATTGGCAGATATAAATTATATCATGTTCTCACCTCTGATTGAGATGTTGCAGTGGGTGGTATGGGCACTCACCACTGTGATGCTCATGTGTATTTAAAACTTTCCTCCGGCAGAGGTTAGGGTTGAAGTTCACTCTAAAAGGTCCACTTGTCATCCTACTTGTGATAGATAAGGGCACAATGCACAGTCAGATGTGTGTCTATGTGGCAAACCAATGCCTTTGAGTGCGCCCTTACTACAGATGTAGTTATAGCAGTAGGATTACAGCATATTTTAAATCGTTACAGTTATAGACTGCATGTGTGTGTGTGTGTGGGCATGTAAGCCTAACGGACACACTAGTTTTTGTAGCGGCGCAGGCTTTCAGGGGATCTCCTTGTAAACAGCAATAAGCTTGGATCTATGTTATTGTAAGCAGTGAAGGAGAGCGGTTCGTAATGGATTTGACCTTGATTTTATGGCAGTTGCGGTGTGCGTCACTGGCCATAATTCCTGCTCCCTTAGCCAAAAATCCACAGTGTATTCTCCTTAACAAATTGTTGGGGCCAGACCCGAATCGTATATTTTTGTGAAATCAACTCAGGATAAGTATACATGTATATAAGCCTGGCCAAAATATTTGTTAAAGAGCCACGTACGCAGTCCAGTCTATGTGAATAATACTGGGCGCTTTATATGATGTAAATGATATAAAGAAGCCTTCATTGCTACCGTGATTGCTCACTGCATTGATATATCCATTCCCATTTTGATATGGTTCTTTACATGTATGAGCCTTTTCCATTCATTTTGCCATAAGACTCATTGTTTTTATTTTGGTAATATTGTATGATTAGTTTTTAGTTTGTTACTTGACGATGCTTAGGCAAATAGGACATCGACCTAGTGGTGGAAGTGTAGTTTTAGAAAGGAAGAAAATTATGTAAACAAATGAGCTTCAACTATATATTTACATAATACTTGTAGAGTCCATTCAGGTAGAAATCATTATAGGTTGCCCTATACTTGTAGTTGTACCTGTAAATTATGCATAACCAGGCAGTACTTCCGCCAGTTTAGAGTATTGATGCAAGCATATATTATAATGGTGACAAACTACAGGGTGGAATAGAAAATTTAATGTCATTCCACATACATGTTTTATAATCCATTAAAATAATTGACATTCTAATAGATTCAATAGTGCATTACCTAGGAATATTGGAAACTTGTGATAAGTTTGTACATGATATGGTGTGATTTTATGTACGAATGAAAATAGAAGTGACTGGAAATTGTGGCCTTACTTTTTAAGACGACTACAGTACATAACATTTTAAGCTTTTATAGTTTTTAGTTCTGTGGACCAAGAAAGTGCATTATTTGATGCAAGACATTTTTAGTGCACATTGTTTTAGTATGTGATACACTGTCTATTCATGTGTTGTTTTCTTGTTTCATGCACTGTTTTGGGCGTAATAAAAATGCCTTTATCTAACTTTCTCTGTTCAGTGGTTGCCCTGTAAAATCGGCCAACGATACATTAATATTCTATAGCTGGAATTGCTTGTTATCTGGACTTAGACTAGACTGATCATTCTTTAGTTTTGACCAGAGTTGGGCTAACAGTGGCAGGACTTTTATTTGAATGTTTACCCCTCGAGGCTATATTTTATTTGTCTCTAAGGAAAATGTTTGCAGCCAGGTGTTTTGAAAAGTGACTGAGTATCTTGTTTTCTTGAAATGTTTTGTTAACCATGGCAAGCTTCTGGGATATTGCAGTACTTAGTAACATCAGTGGGTGGGAAACTATTAATAGTAGTATGGTGAACAGCAGTAGTAGCAACAACAACAACATCAACATCACAACACAACCACCAATAGCCAGCGCAGCAACAGTAGCAGCAGCAGATGTATCACCACACAATTAGGCAGTAGCTGACCGCAGCACTAACACTACAGGGCTGGTCGCAGGAAACCAGAACCCCCATGTGACAGTTTGTTTCACTGTCATATTTTGAAAGAACTTTTAAAATCCGTGTGCTATTGAATTTCTGTCGCATTTCTCTGTAGAAAAAATCACTGCATGGGGTACACTCCACTCCGATTCATCCCCTCAACTAGCTCAATTCAACAGCCACTCTCCCAAATTCTTGGAATCGTCTATTTAGTTGCGCAAGCCAGCCAAATGCGAGCAAACGGAGGCAGCTGAGGAAACGGAATCTCTAGCAATCCCAAGTCGCAGCACGCACGCTAACACACTCATGCCATATTACATTACTACTTACTGTATTCTACGGCGGCGCTACAAGAGCGCTATAGTCAGGTCCCTTAATTAGCTTCATGATCGTTACAGAGCTGAAAAGCAACATCAAACTTGGCACAGTTGTAGCATATGGCAGTACTATAAATATTAGAGGGGTGACCAATGTAGATAATCCTTAGAAGTGAATTACAGATGATTAAATGTTTGGACCGCGCCGGCCTGTACGTTATAGCCCATGACGTTTGCGGCTATAGGCAGCATGAAAGTGTATTAACTCTCATACTTCGCGAACTAATTTAGTTACATTTCTAGAATCTAGATACATATAAACACATGTATTAGCTATAATCCCGGTTAAATTTTGAGTTTATTGATCACGAATAGTTTAATTAATTACCAAAAATATACGCACGGCACGGTATCGCTCATAGGCTAATATATTATAACGCGCGGCTATGGCCCGTAGGATAGTGTACTAACTCTAAAACTCGCGAAGGATTGAGTTACATTTTCTAAAATTCTAGAATACTTATAAGACACATGTCTTAGCTAAATGGTCTCTGTGAAATTTTGAGTATATTGAAGCAGCGAATAGTTTAATTAATTACCAATAAATATACGCACGGTATCGTCATAGATAATAATATACCTACGCGCGGCTATCGGCCCCTAGGATAGTGTAAATAGCTCTAATATCTCGCGAACGATTTGAGTTACATTTTCTAAAATTATAGATACCTATAGACACATATCTTAGCTATAATCTCTGTGAATATTGAGTATTATTGACGAGCACGATTAGTCAATATATTAGCAAATATTTCTCGCGCGGAAGTGCATTACAGGATTACAGATGATTAAATGTTCGAGAACCACCCGACTCCGAACCCCCCTCCCGCCCGCTTGTACTGTGTGTACTGGCGCATTGGCGACGTACGGAATATCGTGCATTGGGCACCCCCTCTAACATTATAGTACTGCCATAAGCTACAACTGTCGAAGTTTGAGACTTTTGTCACTCCTGTACGATTCGGCCCATATTTTGCACTTAAGGGACCTGACTACTATGACTTTTAGATTATGTTATCTATGGCCTCATGACGTCGCATGCACTTGGAACGTTCATTAATAACGTGATGGTAGATAATCAACGAAATATATTTGCTCCCAAGAGCCTATCGTAATTACTTTCTGTAAATGCCATACAAATGCTAATCTGCAACACACGACGCGCACATACGCACGAGACGCCCGCTTGTACATGCCACAGGCCCGCAGCCAGGGGGGGTTCGGGGGGTTCGAACGACCGCCCCCCCCCCCGAGCCCCCCCGAAGCCAAAAATTTTTTTTTTTTTAATTTGCAAGAATTTCACCTCTATTTTAGTGTAATAATTGCAAAATCTCCATCGTGCGGGAGGTGAACAGTGAACACCGCCCCTCCCACACCCTCCCCTGCTCGGTCGCTTGGCTCCCTTGCTGGTCGCTTCGCGCCCGAGCAGGGGCGTGTACAGGGGGGTCCAGGGCAGTCCTGGACCCCCCTTGCTCGCGCAGAAAACGCATTCGAGGGGTCTAATTTAAAAATTTCTGGGGGACAGGACTTCCCAGACCCCCCCGCCGCCCTTCGCGTGCTCGCAACTTTGGTTACGGTTGACCGACCTGGTAGTAATTCTGTACACGCCCCTGCGCGAGCAAATTGCCAAACATTGAAAACGAACCCCCCCCCCCTAATATAAAGCTGGCTACGGGCCTGCATGCACATACCACAAAAGTTAGAGTCCCTATATACTGTATACAATGATGTATACAGTATTCTCTGTTAGCATATCATCATGGCGTGTATTTTGCAAAAGGGGGGTCGTGCAGGGTCGTAACGAACCCCCCAAAATTTCAAAAGGGTCACATTTTTTCCAAGACACTTTTTTTTCGAGGCAGCGCTTTTCACGATTGACATAAATGAAAAAAGCATAATTGATCAGGTACCAGTACAATTGAGTCCAAAGACCTTGCCAATTGCGGACGCAAATTAATCCCAATTCAGCAATTCTGAAACTGAGCCTTTTTTTAAACACAATTTTTTGTTTAAAAAACTTGAGGTTCACAAAAGAGAGACAAAGACTCTGACAAAGACAAAGACAAAGACAAGACAAGATCAAACAAAGACAGCCATAGAACAGTTCAAAAGACTGTTCTTCAACTGCAGCAGAAACTTGTTTAAAAAAACTTGTATCAAAAAACATTCAAAATTTTTGTTTTAAAAAACTGACAAATTTTGTTTTGGAAATTTTTTTGTGTTTCAATTAAATTGTAATTGACATTTTTAATGCACATCTTTGCTGTTATTTCATTGATTGATAAGGTCACAAAAATTATGAAACACGACCCACGCCAGAAAAATCCTGGATACACCCCTGATCGATGATAGTTGCTATATACATCATTATAGTATACATCTATGGTTACATTAACCTAGCTGTAAACGGAGGATCTGCATGCATATGCTGCTCGATATGCTCTTTAGTCAGATACACATGGGCGAATTATATTTCGTGTTGATATATTTATACTCCTCTGCAACAAAAAATTTCTGTGCAGTAGCTTGCGTGAAGTTAATTTGCGTGGAATTATTAGGGCGACATACTATAGTAAACTACGCCGAAGGCAGAGAGATAGTTTAATATAGACGTCTAACATTTATTGTTAGTGAATGAACAATGGGGTTGTGACATCTATAGAGAACTATGGATAGTGGTTTGATATTTTAAAAGTGGCTTGACGTCTAAATGGCTTTCTTGTAATTTGGATAGTATTTACACCAAAAATTGTTGTTTCGCTGTCGCACTGCCATGCGCATCACCAGTTGCTGTTGTTTTCCCGTTGCATTCTGCAAAGGTTTTATTTGTTACCCTAGACGTTTCTGCGGCACAGGTGTGCTCACTTGATCGCTGCTCATAATCAGAGTGAGCATTGAAGCAGACTGAATAGAAGTGTGTCCTTGATTCTTTCGAATGTCGTGATCAGCGTCCTATAGTAATTCTTACGACGGATGATTGCTGAAGAGGTGCGAAGCGTGAGTTGAAATTTGAGCGGCATCGCGTCGTTTCATAGCCGCACGGCACTTGTCGTGCCGTGCTGAAACAGCTGAGAGACACAGATGTAGAAGCCTGACCTATACTGTAATAATAATAGTTATTATAATAATAATAATAATAATTATAATAATTATAATAATTATTATAATAATTACAAGTATTCAGTTGCTACGTAACCTGCATGACGAGCGTGTTGTATGCAGCTTATATGCAGGCCCGTAGCCAGCTTTATATTGGGGGGGGGGTTCGTTTTTCAATGTTGGCAATTTGCTCGGCAGGGGCGTGTACAGGATTTGTGCCGGGGGGGGGGGGTCTAACCGTAACCCAAAGTTGCGAGCAAGCAAATTTTTTTTAAATTAGACCCCCTCAGATGCGTTTTCTGTGCGAGCAAGGGGGGGTCCGGACTCCCTGGACCCCATGTACACGCCCCTTCTCGGGCGCGAAGCGACCAGGCGAGGGAGCCAAGCGACCGAGCGGGGGGAGGGTGTGGGAGGGGGGGGTTCACTGTTCACCCTCCCGCACGATGGAGATTTTGCAATTATTACACTAAAATGGAGCGACCTGAGGTGAAATTCTTGCAAATTTTCAAAAAATTTTTTTTTTTTTGGGGGGGGGGGTTCGTTCGAACCCCCCGAACCCCCCCTGGCTACGGGCCTGGTGCATGTACAGCGGGCGTTCGTGCGATGTGCCCGTGTGTGTTGCAGATTAGCATTTGTATGGCATTTACAGAAAGTAATTACGATAGGTCTTTGGTAGCAAATATATTTCGTGATTATCTACCATCACGTTATTATTGAAGCGTTCCAAGTGCATGCGACGTCATGCGGCGATAGATAACATAATCTAAAAGTCATAGTAGTCAGGTCCCTTAAGTGCAAAATATGGGCCGAATCGTTACAGGAGTGACAAAAGTCTCAAACTTGGCACAGTTGTAGCTTATGGCAGTACTATAATGATTAGAGGGGGTGCCCAATGCAGATATTCCGTACGTGCCCAATGCGCCAGTACACACAGTACAAGCGGGCGCGGGAGGGGGGACGGAGTCGGGTGGTTCGAACATTTAATCATCTGTAATCCTGTAATGCACTTCCGCGCGAAAATATTTGCTAATATATTGACTAATCGTGCGTCAATAAACTCAATATTCACAGAGATTATAGCTAAGACATGTGTCTATAGGTATCTATAATTTTAGAAAATGTAACTCAAATCGTTCGCGAGATATTAGAGCTATTTACACTATCCTACGGGCCATAGCCGCGCGTATATATTATCCTATGACGATACCGTGCGTATATTTTTGGTAATTAATTAAACTATTCGTGCTTCAATATACTCAAAATTCACAGAGACCATAGCTAAGACATGTGTCTATAGGTATCTAGAATTTTAGAAAATGTAACTCAAATCCTTCGCGAGGGATTAGAGTTAGTACACTATCCTACGGGCCATAGCCGCGCGTTATAATATATTAGCCTATGAGCGATACCGTGCGGTGCGTATATTTTTGGTAATTAATTAAACTATTCGTGATTCAATAAACTCAAAATTTACGGGGATTATAGCTAATACATGTGTTTATATGTATCTAGATTTCTAGAAATGTAACTAAATTAGTTCGCGAAGTATGAGAGTTAATACACTTTCATGCTGCCTATAGCGCAATAACGTATGCGGCTATAACGTACAGGCGGGCGCGGTTCGAACATTTAATCATCTGTAATTCACTTCTAAGGATTATCTACATTGGTCACCCCCTCTAATATTTATAGTACTGCCATATGCTACAACTGTGCCAAGTTTGATGCTTTTTTCAGCTCTGTAACGATCATGAAGCTAATTAAGGGACCTGACTATAGCGCTCTTGTAGCGCCGCGTAGAATACAGTAAGTAGTAAGTAATATGGCATGAGTGTGTTAGTGCGTGCGTGTGTGACTTGGGGATTGCTAGAGATTCCGTTTGCTCAGCTGCCTGCCGTTTGCTCGCATTTGGCTGGCTTGCGCAACTAAATAGACGATTCCAAGAATTTGGGAAGGTGGCTAGTTGAATTGAGCTAGTTGAGGGGATTGATCGGAGTTGGAGTGTACCCCATGCAGTGATTTTTTTCTACAGAGAAATGCGACAGAAATTCAATAGCACACGGATTTTAAAAGTTCTTTCAAATATTGACAGTGAAACAACTGTCACATGGGGGTTCTGGTTTCCTGGACCAGCCCTGTAGTGTTAGTGCTGCGGTCAGCTACTGCTAATTGTGGTGGTGATACATCTGCTGCTGCTACTGTTGCTGCGGCTGGCGTTGGTGGTTGTGTTGTGATGTTGATGTTGTTGTTGTTGCTACTACTGCTGCTGCTGGTATACTGCTGTTCACCATACTACTAATTAATAGTTTCCCACCCACTGATGTTACTAAGTACTGCATATCCCAAGAGCTTGCCATGGTTAACAAAACATTTCAAGAAAACAAGATACTCAGTCACTTTTCAAAACACCTGGCTGCAAACATTTTCCTTAGAGACAAATAACATAGCTCGAGGGGTAAACATTCAAATAAAAGTCCTGCAGTGTTAGCCCCAACTCTGGTCAAAACCTAAAGAATGATCAGTCTAGTCTAAGTCCAGATAACAAGCAATTCGAGCTATAGGAATATTAATGTATGTGGCCGATTTACAGGGCAACCACTGAACAGAGAAAGTTAGATAAGGATTTTTATTACGCCAAAACAGTGCATGAAACAAGAAAACAACACTGGAATAGACAGTGTATCACATACTAAAACAATGTGCACTAAAATGTCTTGCATTGGCACTTTCTTGGTCCACAGAACTAAAACTATAAAAGCTTAAAATGTTATGTATGTAGGTCTTTAAAAAGTAAGGCACAAATTTCCAGTCACTTCTATTTCATTCGTACATAAATCACACCATATCATGTACAAACTTATCACAAGTTTCCAATATTCTAGGTAATGCACTATTGAATCTATTAGGAATGTCAATTATTTAATGGATTATAAAACATGTATGTGGAATGCATTAAATTTTCTATTCCACCCTGTAGTTTGTCACCATTATATATTATGCTGGCATCAATACTCTAAACTGGCTTGAGGTACTGCTGGTTATGCATAATTTACAGGTACAACTACAAGTATAGGGCAACCTATAATGATTTCTACCTGAATGGACTCTACAAGTATTATGTAAATATATAGTTGAAGCTCATTTGTTTACATAATTTTCTTCCTTTCTAAACTACACTTCCACCACTAGGCGTGTCCCTATTTGCCTAAGCATCGTCAAGTAACAAACTAAAAACTAATACATACAATATTACCAAAATAAAACAATGATGTTATGGCAAAATGAATGGAAAAGGCTCATACATGTAAAGAACCATATCAAAATGGGAATGGATATATCAATGCCAGTGAGCAATCACGGCCAGCAAAATGAAGGCTTCTTTATATCATTAATCATACTATAAATGCCCCAGTATTATTCACATAGACTGGACTGCGTACGTGGCTTTAACAAATATTTTGGCCAGGCTTATATACATGTATACTTATCCTGAGTTGATTTCATCAAAAATATACCGATTCGGGTCTGGCCCAACAATTTGTTAGGAAGATACACTGTGGATTTTTGGCTAAGGGAGCAGGAATTATGGCCAGTGACGCACACCGCAACTGCCATAAAATCAAGGTCAAATCCATTACGAACCGCTCCTTCACTGCTTACATAACATAGATCTCAAGCTTATTGCTGTACAAGGAGATCCCCTGAGCCTGCCGCCGTACAAAAACTAGTGTGTCCCGTAGGCATACATGCCACACACACACACCCATGCAGTCTATAAATGTAACGATTTAAAAATATGTGTATCCTACTGCTATAACTACATCTGTAGTAAGGGCGCACTCAAAGGCATTGGTTTGCCACATAGACACACATCTGACTGTGCATTGTGCCCTTATCTATCACAAGTAGGATGACAAGTGGGACCTTTTAGGTGAACTTCAACCCTAACCTCTGCCGGAGGAAAGTTTTAAATACACATTGAGCATCACAGTGGGTGAGTGCCCATACCACCCACTGCAACATCTCCAATCAGAGGTGAGAACATGATAAATTTATATATCTGCAATATATAGGTGCAACCCTAGTGCAAGCCTGCTTGGTCCAAATACAAAAAACGTTAAACAAAGACATGATTGCGAACGGCATAATCGAAACCCCACGGTGTAACATTCCTAGGGTCACAAATGTTGCACATGGATTGAGAAACCATGCCGATATGTTGAAGATAAAAATAATGTGCAATCTAGCAAAACATCTCTCTGAATATAAAAAATATTAGGCACTACATCAACCCATCTATGAAAGGAATGTTTTATGCATTGTTGTCATGCTTACACGCGTCACATCAACTGTTAGGTTGAAGTTGTAACAACAGACATGAAAGCCGATCCCATACATCTGTTTGCAGGGTGGCAATGTCTTACATATTAAAATGAGCAATGATTAAACGCGTACATTTCTATATACAGATGTATAGTTCATGATATGATAGACTCGATGTAAATTCCTAAAACGCAAAACTCTTCGGTTTTGCTAAATTGCAACGGAGACCTTGAGGTATTTTCTCTCACATAAAATCTCACGTAGACTCACGAGACTGGCTCGTGAGAAACTGCGCTGCACACTACAACGACACAACGACTGAGCAGGTTTGTTACTAATAAAAGGCAGTACTGGCCAGGCACAACGTGAACATTTGGCGTCTTTTCGATGAAATTGCTTGACGGCAAGCATCACCTTTAGACATCCGACGTCTGGCTCTCTGGCGAGGACGGAAGCAGAGCACCGTTCTTTGGCATCTTCAAGCCGTCGTGCTTTGCTTTGATATGACGGAGGAGGTTGCCCGATTGAGTGAAGGACATGGGGCACAGGTTGCACTTAAACGGCCGCTCGCCCGTATGCGTCCTCCGGTGCTTGATGAGCGTGCTCTTGTCGCTAAACGACTCCTCGCAGCCCTCGCACTGGTGCCGCTTGACGCCGGACAGGTGGGTCTTGAAGTGATTGGCGAGGCCGCCCTTCGAGGCGAACGTCGCGTAGCACACGCTGCAGTCGAGCGACTGGCCGAGCACGACCTTTTTCGTCGGCGTCTCGCTCGCCATCAGCTGACTCGCGAGGATGCTGCCGCCGCCCTTCGGCGACAACTTTTTCACGAGGTGGCGCAGCTTGATGTGGCGCAGCAGGTTTCCCGACTGCGTGAACGCGGCGCTGCAGTGGTCGCACTTGTATGGCCGCTCTCCTGTGTGGATGCGCCGGTGCTTCGTCAGCGTGCTCTTGTCGATGAACGCGCCCGCGCACATGTCGCACTTGTAGGGCCGCTCGCCCGTGTGAGTCCGGTGGTGCGTCGTCAGGCTGCCGGACGACGTGAACGACGCCGCGCACACGTTGCACTTGAACGGCTTGTCCGACGTGTGGATCTTCATGTGCAGCTTGAGGCTGCGCGCCGAGCTGAACGTCTCGCCGCAGACGAAGCAGCGCTGACTGTGGTTGCGCCGGTGCTTCTTCAGCGCCTCCGCCTCGACGAACGTCGCGTCGCACGTCGTGCAGACGAACGCCTTCTTGCGCAGCGTGCAGACGGGCGTGTGCGCCTCGAGCGTGCTCGGCTGGATGAACGCCGCCGGGCAGCTGCCGCACTTGTAGCGCCGCTCGCCGCGGTGTAGGATCGCGTGGCGCACGAAGATGCTCGCCTCCGTGAAGGACGCCTCGCAGAGGTCGCAGCCGTACGGGCCGCGGTCGACGTGGCTCTTCGCGTGCTGGATGAGCGCGCTCGAGTGCGCGAACGACTCGTTGCATATCTCGCACGCATACGGCGTGCCGTCGAGGTGTGTCGTCATGTGAGACTTGAGGCTCGACGCCTGGTAGAAGCCGACCTTGCACAGCGCGCACGTGTGCGACTTGAGCGCCTCGCAGAAGCAGATGTGCGCGAGGAAGCTGTCCGGCTCGTGGAAGAACGTCTTGCACATGTCGCATGAGTACGGCCCGTCATCGCAGTGCATCTTGCGGTGCTGCGTCAGGTTGCTCAACTTGTTGAACGCCTCGCCGCAGATCTCGCAGCCGTGCGGCTTGTCATTCGTGTGGATGACGATCATGTGCTGCTTGAGCGCGCCCGCGTGCGAGAACACCTCGCCGCAGACGTCGCAGCGGTACGGCCGGTCGCCCGTGTGCACGCGCATGTGGCTGCGCAGACTCGACGCCGACACGTACGCATTCGCGCAGATGTGGCAGCGGTACTTGCTCAGGCCGCCGAAGCTGTGCCGCTTCAGCATGTGCCGCATGAGCAGCGGCGCCGTCACGAAGCCGGCGCTGCACACGTTGCACACGCTCTCGGCGACGATCGGCGTGTGCGTCTGCGCGTGCTTCGTGAGCCCGCCCGGCTCCGCGAACGACGCGTTGCACACGTCGCACATGAACAGCGTCTCCTCGTTGTTGTTGTTCGTCGCCGCCGGGAACGGCTTTGGCGACGCCGTCAGTTCGACGTTGACGTCGTCTTCGACGTCCATCGGGCCGCCGTCGGTGTCGGTGGTCGTCGTGCTGGCAGCGGAGTCCCGCTCCTCCTCCTCCTCCTCGCCGTCGTCTTCTTTTAGATCCATCACGAGTTTGTTGGCATCTTTGTCGCTAATCTCAGAGTCGCTAGTCGTCACGCTGCCGCCATCTGATCCGATCGCGCCGTTGTTCTTCACGTCGTCGGTTGCCATGGTCGTTGTCAGCACAGCATGGGTAATCTGGTCACAAAAAATTTATATTGTAAATGAGAAAAATACTGATCACATTTTTAATATCTAAACAAACAGTCACACATCACGCACGAATGATGAGAACAATATTGTTATAATTCAGAAAAACAGAACTGATCAAATATTTGTTACTTTAGACAAACGAGGTTGAGTCAGGAACAAAATAACTAATACACTACTGACTACAATTACAGACATAAAAACTTTAGGAAAGCGCCCAAAACTGTGAATTAATTTGTAACGTAAGCACATGAAATTAATTAATTTCACACAGGAACCACGACGTGAATGTAATTTGCTAAACGCTTCACTAACACTTCACTAGCTGCATTATTGAATATATACATTAGATGCCTGTCAATAACCCCACTTATAACACTCTTCCTGTTTGAGATTAACCACATCTTAGGCAATAACTGTGCTCCAATAAACCTCACAGCCAGATGGGGAATTTATTTTTTATAAACCTACTATCACCCATTGCTACCAACTAACTGCACCACAGGCAACCAATAATGTGTAAACTTACATGCATCCATTTCAATAAACTAAGACACACACAAGTGAGCATGCTCTTGGGTGTCATTGTGACATGCATATATAGTGGCTCTGCAAACAATTTCGTCTTCACAGCATTTTCATGGTCAAGCTGACACAAAAAGCTCCCATTAGCCTATTGTGTGCATATCAATTTCAAGGTGGATCTTCAGTTGTGCTTAGGTATACTATCTGCGTCAGTGCTAACAACAAGTTGTTTTGGTTACTGGGGCATACCGAAAACCCCAAACTAAGCAATGGACAATTGACAAGTAATTGATAACTGAATTCTGACTGCTACCCTTACTGAGTGTAAAATGGTTAATGATCATTATTCGTAATTTGATAATACCATTCTTCTATTTCATCTATATATAAACGATATTATCTATCTTTCTCTCTCTCTATATCAGGGTTAGATACTAACCATTTTAGTTCATTAGTCCACACTCCACAGGACTAGTAAAAGAACAAATGTACTAGTCCTTCCAAGATTCTACTAGTCCTGCCGAAGGACTCTTACTAGGCACAAAGTGACGAGCATTGTGATTTGCTGAGGGCGAGGAGGGTGGAGCCCCCCTCCTGCTAGGGGGTACAGAGGGGGTATTCCCCAGGGTACAAGGGGTCTCCCCAAGAAAGGTTTTGTAAAAAACATTCAATTGTATAAAATATATGTAACTTTGATATGGATCATAAGAAAACAAATGTTGTTCCCGGCGCCTTGTATCGGCTATCGCCGTAATGAACCTCTGGCAAGCCTTGTCGGTGAGGTAAGTGCTGCCGACATCTAACCCCTTGGTCTTGTCAAGCTGGCACAGCTTGACGTAATTGGTGTAGAGCCCGTTTTTTCCAATAACATGTGCATTTCTAATTAGGATATTCAGTTTTGCTATTATGGCCTTGTTCATTAAAGTTAGTGTTTTTGCCCCCACTGTTTCGTGAACAGGCATGGTCCTTGCATTTCTTTTTGCTATGATCTTTATGTGCCCCTCGGAAGCATCATGCGCTTTAACAGTTTCCAAACGATAGTTTGTAGTACCCGTGAAAAAACTACCAGACATACAGCCTGCACCACAGGTCATACCCTTGGCCGGGTCATACTCTAGCCACGAGTATGACGATTTCCACGCTAGCTGGAACGTACGCATCCTTTTGGTCTTATCATATACACGCTGGCCATCTAATTTCTCCTCCTGCGACTTACGTTTGGGAGGTGGAGGACGAGCTCCGTCCAAATACTTCCACATAATAACCTTGATGTTAGTATTGGATAAGGATGTACCTACTACTATGCTTCACTACTTGTATCACTAGATTCACTACTATAGATAACTATTTGTATCGACTGCTTCAAGTAAAACACGCATGCGATGTGGTTGCGATGTAAATACCTCGCTATGAGAGCGTATTTATAACTGATTAGTTGTGTCATTTATATGACCAGACCGTTTGTTCTATGTCAACAGCTATTATCAAGCGATGGATCGGTAGACTGGTTCTTGGCCGCATTGTTTAACAATGTTTTGTACTGTCATAGGGTCTAGCATGCAGAGCGTGCTAGCGTCTACTTGTACTAGTGCGTCTAACAGGGAAAACTTGTTGATGGCAATGAGTTATATATAGCTCTTTGGATCTTGGTTGAAAGAAGCTGCCGCCGGGGACTAATGTCACTATAGTAAAATCGATGGGAGGATGGTAAATTGGGATGGTGAAGGACGGGGAAAATAACTACTCCGCAGGACTAACGGCTATGGGGCATTTACTAATCCTTATTTTTTATTAGTCTCGGACCAACATACTAGCGTTAGTGTCGAACCATGTATATATATATATACACAGGTGTGATAACTATGTATGTCTAGCTCACATTCTAATTTCTACTACTATTACTAATTACTATAATATCAATGGCTAATTTCAGCCGATATCAGGACAGTCAGTAGTGTAAATAGGTCGATTGTCTTATTAGTGTAATTTATATTGTTATATTTATGCTAATATTTACATTATAATTTTAGTATTTTCAAAAAAACAACCCCTGTGATCTGTAGCCTGTAGGCCTATCTTCTAGTTTTGTCAAATAAATGAATGGAACTGTATTAAATACACATTTCTTTCATCTAAAAGGGATTCACCTGTGGTACAAACTGAACATCGTTAGCAAAGCTATAATTCAGTCGAAATACTACCACAATCGCGGAATGAAGAGAAAGAACATGGGCTAATCTAACAATGGACAGTGACGAACGTACGCATCGGCACGCATGTACAGTGCATGTAACGAATTGATTAGCTCTTGCACGCATACAGGTGGTTATCAACGTATTTCAGATAGATTTCTCACCAAAGCAAATAAAAAGTGGTCTATCCCAACGATATTAAACTATAGTATACCTAGTACTTCTAAGAACTATATATCTTTCTGAATCTCGCTCATACGGCGGCGGTTAGTTTCTGGTAATTTCCTCCTCAAGCCGCGGACATATTGGGAAGTCTCGTTCGTGAAGCTCTCTCGAACCCGCGCTCATCATTTCGTTTGTTTATGTGAAAGTGCTTGCCGTTGAACCACTTGCTTAAAACTACGTCACAAACTAACTTGAAAAGTAAAATTCCACAGTACGATTTACTTACCCGAGCACCAGTCTAGCCACAAATCGAGAGAGAAGCTGAGTGTACGGGTCCTATGTTGCTTCTATTCATATCCGGTTTGGTCTATTCAATCTACTTCCAAGGTTCAACTCGCCGTTCTTTGTTGTGTGGCAACTTGTACACGCCACAGCCTAGCGGATTGGCGTGCTGACCTCATTATTCGTGGCAGGTAGACACGAAAACAAGTGTACAGCTGTATGGCGAGTGTGGTGGCTGAAATGCGCAGCCTGATAGTAACGAAGCTGGAGAACTGGCCTGATGGACCACACGAGCACTGTGAATAAAACCGGAATGCATTACTATACCGACCATATATCAGTCGCGGATTTAGCTCTTCTCCTGGAACCATTTGCTCTTCCAGAGCGCGCCTTATTGCTGGGTGAAGGGCCAAACGCGTATAGACTATACTAAGGGGATTGAGGATTTTCAATTTTAGCAGGCGCGGCGTCTGCTGCGTGCGCAGTATGAAAGAGAAATATTGACCGTCACCGTGCTTAAGATTTATGGACATCTGACTTCAAAAGATGAAAATAGAGTGCACGAGTGTATTTTGATCAAATAAACCTGCATGAGTTGAATAATACATCCTTAATATGTTGAATCACAACAAAAAACACCCCATCCACAATGCGTGAAAGAGGGATAACAAATTCAACTCAGAAGCATTTGAGTTTTATTGCAAATAATTATAGTTTGTGCTATTATAAAGTAATCTCAATATCCACACTAGATGCGAACTGCGTGTAATTAGTAATTACGCATATAACCGCAATCGCTTGCCAAAATTATGTATAGCAGGCAAACAAGTGTACGTGTCAATAATTTTGTACTCGCGCGCCGCGCGTACACGCACGCGTCAGAGTGGCGTGCGTGCGCGCGTGTTTGTGCAAGTAAAATAACGTGCCGGCGCTTATTATTATTATTATTATTATTATTATTAAATCTTTAATGCATGTAATTCAAATACAAATACATGTACTGAAGACAGAAAAAATGTGATAGATGCAATAGTGTTGAGAGAACTGTGTTTTATGCGTGCTATGTGAATGAGGGGGTGGGGAGAAGCATATATCACTTGGATGGAATCGTTAATATTCAATGGTTTGCTGTAAAGGTCTGTATTACTTTGAGATCATACGCGGTGCCGTGGAACACGATCGAGTAGAGCACGTGGATGTGATATTATATATATGTATATATATATATATATGTATATATATATATATATATATATGTTTGTATATAGCTATGGTGATATATATGATCCCGCTGTGGGCACTTCCGGGAAAAAATTGGTTTGCATCCACGTGAGACCCTTTTATAGACACCCCGTATTCAAGGGTATATTCTGAACGAATTTGCCCCCCCCCCCATTAATCCAATAATGAATTTATCAAAAGGGTAGAATTCTAAAAAGAATTTTCAAAATGTGCCATAAAATTAAGAATTCTATAATCAAAATGTTTATTTTGAAGAACTATATCTGTATATCTTCCAGTATATATATAGTTAAGCCACGAACTTTCTTTTCCTAAGATATATTTATTTAAACACACCCTGCCGAAATAATTAGCTATTCAGTTTGTTTGCAAAATAACTATCCTTCAAATTAACGGCCAGGAAGTGCACTACTGTATTTACAATGTTCGATGTTTTTTTTTTAATTCTCTATATTCTCACGCACTGCAAATTTTTTGAAAATGAAGCCATTGATCCTTGAATATTAGAACGTATTATATGAGTAGCGTTTCCTTGGACTTTGGGGTATGTGAGTTGTAGAAAGAATAGAAGGCAGACGTGTAGGCAATGCGCAGAGATCGAGGGGGCGCAGAGGAAGTACGTGTAGAAAAAGTAAGGGCGATGAGAAACGGGAAAGCTAGCCTAATTGGGCGAGTAGAAGAAGTGGGGAAGGAGATCTCCACTTCCTCCGCTATTCATTCCCGACACGTTTATGGCCTTATTGCCACCAGCATACTCTTCCTAAACACCTACTGGGGGGGGGGAGTACTGGCACTCTGTAAAGCATCTCCCCCCCCCCTTAAGAGAGAGCCTCTCCCATTCCCTGTATACCTAACTTAAATCAAAATTTACCTCTCTGATTTTTGCTTCTTTTCCGGCTCTGTTTTTCTCTTCCTCCTGTCTCTTTTCCAATTGCCCCGTATATACGTCTGATATTGTTGCAGCAATATTTTTTCTTACATCATGTAATCCCCCCATTAGGTGTAGCTTGATGCTTACGTGACCAACTACTGGTCATAGGAGAAGTTACACCTTATGCCATTGAGACTGTGTGACGCGCTGCCATTTTCACATGTCAATTCTTTTCCAGCATAGGTAAATGCCTATGGGTCATTGTCAGAAACATTTCTAAAAAACAGTTGTAATATTAGATTTAGTTACAGCTTCTTCGAGGAATATTTTTTTTGCTTTTCCGATGATATTTCACAGTATTGAAAATAGAGCTACAATGTTTTCGACACTTGCCACCTAGTCACCGTGTGAACAGTGGTCATGTTTCATAAGAGCATAGATAATATCAGGAGTGAATAATAATAGATTATTATTTATTATTATTCACTTCTGATAATATTGTATCACATGATTTCATGGACATGCAAAAATTCACACACTATAGAGGTACTTGGTATAAGTTACTGGTATTAAATTAATTAAATTTCAAGTTTTCATGCAAAGACTTCTTTTACAATCAAGATTTGCCATCTAAAAGCAAATAATACAAGGCAAACATTGAAAATGTAACATCAAATATTTTATTATTGTTATTTAGCATAAATATTCCATACTTCACAATTCCAACAGCAATTACAGATAATTCTTAATAGCAATTAAAACAGATTAAATACAACTCAACATACCCTACGAATGATATTAATCGTCTGTGAATAAATCTACTAAACCATTTGCATTTCTACATTTTCGTATTTTATACACGAAAAGGTGCCGATGTTAGACGAGCAAATGCCACACGAATTTCGGAACACTAATTTTCTTCGGCAAATTTCTATTGGGTTTCATTCACTTCAACTTCACTTATAACTTAACAATTATACATACTTACAAATACACTTATTACCAATATAATTACAAGAGTTACTGCAAAATGCAAGAAAATCATGCTATAAGCAAAGGTAACCTCTATGTTATCTGTACTTTCTATGGCTATGTAAATTGACAGTAATAAATTAAATTGTAGAGGAGATAGCCATGCTAGCTATGCCACCAGTAGTTTTGACGGGTATGTACCATGAACTTCCTTGAAATTGATTGTACAAAAATAAGTAGTACAGTCACTACTGTGATTGCACACAGAGGTGCAAGAAACAGTGTAGCGTCATCTCCACTGTCATTCAATACCTTGCACAAAATAGATGTTATAACGGAGACACAATCATCTTTGCAAAAGCTTCAGCCATATAAATGATCGTGGTACACAGCAAATCTTTGAAATTTTTACATTTGTTGTGCAGTGCCACTTAGGAAGCATGCTTGCCCAACAACTTGGCAAATCTATTTAGGCTAACATGAAAACATCTATTTATAGGTGTATATATTATCATTTGGTTATAACCAATGAAGAAAATCTTCATTAGTGGCTCCAGTTATTGTGCTTATCATCAGATTTTTCCATGCGTCAAATTTACAGCAACAATGTGAAAGTCTCTAGCAGATGCAACCCGTGTTTTTTATTGATCAGCGGTTTATCCAGGTCTCTTACACTGGCTGCTGCAGCAGCGTAGCTCTATGGCAATGCGACACGCGTGCGTTACGTCATCAGTAGTTTCTCGGGGTCCGTGAAATTGACGGTAACGATGTAGAAGATCGCCGGAAGCGGCACGAGCGCAATGAGCCCGCAGTGAAACGCGGGGTTCGTCAGCTCCGTGATGGCGATTATCCCGTAGGCGTGCAGCAGCCAGTGTCCGAGGATGACGGCCATGTTGCGTTTGTCCGTGACGCACGACCACAGCAGCGACTGCATCGACTGGTCGAGCTGGATCGCAAAGTGCGTCGCGATCGTCACGACGGACACGACGACGACGATGTACGGAAACGAGTAGTAGAGCAGGCCGCAGAAGACAGCGTGGATGACGGTGAGGATCGGGATGAAGTACAACGCGGCGTAGATGGCGCTCGAGCTGGCCTGCGTGCCGGAGAAGACGCGCACCACAGCCGGCCGCAGGAGCAGCAGCAGCAGCAGGCAGAGCGCGTTGTAGATGAAGACGAGCGTGTAGAGCGGGTAGACGGCCTCGTTCGTGCAGTGCACGGTGCCGAGCGCACCCGCGTACCATGGCTTCGGGTTGTGGAACAGCGTGTACCAGTCCGACAGCCGCACGACGCCGCACGAGTGCAGGGCGAGGTGGCCGCGAGGAGGCGCCACGAGCACGGTAACGATGGCGGCACCGGCGCACTCGACGAACGCGCTGACGTGCGTCGCGAGGATGGCGCGCGCGAAGCTCTTGCGCTTCGACGTAAAGTCGATGAAGAAGCAGTGCAGCGAGAAGCAGAGCAGCGCCATGAACCCGAGGTACAGCCAGTCGTAGAAGCTCGGCGACTCCTCGCACTTGTGACATAGGTCGTCGATGGCGCGCCAGCCGCGCGGACACGCCGTGCAGTTTCCCGGGCTCGCGGGCGGCGGCATGCGCGCGCAGTAGAGGCCGGGACAGTGCTCCACCTGACTTATAGTCATCCTGAAAGACATTTCCGTCCACGAGGGGAGTGGTCGCACTACCAAGCTTGCATGTAGTACGACTGAAAACCGGTGCACAAAGTGCGCTAAAAAAAGAGAAGAGAATTGGTTTAGATACGGATCTATAGCAAGTATAACTTTGAGTACCTCCAAGAAACTGTCATGTATTACACGACGTGTATTGTCAGTTGCTAAATACAGCCGCATCGGAGTACAATTCTGTTAATGCTGGGTTATGCTGCAATATCCTAATGGAAGGGTAACAAATTAGCGCTACACCCTCCATCGCTATAGCAACATGTAAATTGTAATGCTGAGCGCTGGAGGCTGTAGAACTGGTAGACAGAGGTGGTGCTAGTCAGGGGGCAGGTACGCTACAGCTCACCTCTCAACCTCTATGTCAGAGAATTACCCGTGACAAAAATGTACTGTGGGTCTTTACCTTTTTAGCACTGTGCTAGTTGCACTAACTTATGAGAGCAATCGGGAAGATGTAGGGCTCATTTATCTGTAAATTTGATATACTACAATACCAATAGACCTATTTCCTGCTAATAATGCTAAAGGTGCCATTTTAAACATTCAAATTTAGAAAAAAGAATTCCCGTTGTTTGCAGCCTTTGGTCCCATCCTCGCAATGTGAGTTTAACCCACTCAGTGCACCCACCCTGTCGGAGACCTTGACCCTGTGTCGGGCAATTACAGGTGCCAACCCTCCTAGTATAAGTAGCGCTTGTGGTAATAATCACACCTCATGCTCACTCGTCACCTTGCTTGCATTGACTCGAATCAGGATCAATGAAAATGGAAACCAATTTATCTAGGGAAATCTTGTAAAATCCTGCAGAAAACTTGCTCTCCGTGGGTTTGTAAATGGGAGCAACTGCGTGCTTAGACATGAATAATGGGGGTGTATTACATTCTGGGTTTAGGCCTACAAATCAGATCCAAACTAGGATTAAATTATTTGTACAATAATGATGTCACAATCTTGACTACGTTTATTGGCCAAAGAATATAGTAGCACTGATAGGAATTTTCGGACAATAAACAGCCAGTTCCTCTCGTTAAAAAAACAGAGGGCAAGTTTTCTGCAGGTTTTTAACATCTCACTAGGTAGACTAAGTTTTAACCAAGTGCAATGGTTATAATTCGAGCAAGTAAACACTTGGATATGCACGTCGCACAGATACCAAAATGGAGTGGTAACACTGGTATGGTAGTGTACTATTTGTACCGATTCAGTGATTGTGTGTAACAAAGTGAGCGGTGAGCGAATTTTGCATTAATGAATACGACCTACCTGCTAAAAAAGTGCTATATATTTTGTGAGTTTGTGTCAGTGACGTACGTGCAGCAGGATTTTGTGTTAAAGAGGAGCATTTGAACCGCCTCGCATGTATAACAATCTGACGGTAGTCTATTTCTAGGCCCGAGTGTAAACCGACCAGGCTCTCCGACTGTGACACGGCCAATGTAGTGTCAAGCAAGAAGGGAACTTGTGGCTAGGCCCGAGTGTAGTGCCTAGTGACGCTCATAGGGTCTATGTCCCCCAGGGTAATGCCGGAACGTAACCTGGTAGACGGCTCGCAGCGCTTCATTTTAAGCGCATGCGGATGCGCTGCTCGCTCGCCCGCACTCTCACGCGCACGCCCGAAATTGGGCCATCGCGTGCGCGCATCACTCGCGCCTCCCATAAAGGTAGGTTGAGAATCGCCGCCCACCAAAAGTATGTCTATTATCGGTGAAATAGCGCCTCCATAGGAGATCTCAAATGTTAGGGGGGTACAAAAAGGTCGTAGAACACCACAACAATTTGTTCGGTGTGTAAGTAACTGACACGTATGCCAGAGCGGTACGAGTCTTGGCTTACTCCTTGGCTTTAGTATGATAATATACATAAAATACAACTAAGAAACAACACGCATCCAGAATACAGCGTACCTATACGGTAAGCCACAAGCTTCACCTGGCTCGTTTTCTACTATACGTTGGCCGCAGAAGTGGTTTTCTGCCGACCTGAACACGACTCGTAGGCTAGGAAGCGCTACATACGTGGCTTACTACGTACAAGTAATTTGGCCTAGTTTGCTTGATGGATTGTGATGATCGTTTTGTGTCACTGAGGATATGCAGGTAGCCATTGGATTAAAATCTTAGCATGACAATCAGGCCAAATAAATAACAAGTTTATTTGTTTACAGTGCGATGCACTTTCAATACTCGTGACTTATTAATCTGTAAATGCCTAGTTTCTGCTGTGATGCGTTGGCATGAAAAGACCCATGTCTCAAATTCCTGAGCGTACGCCATTGACGATGAGATGAGAGGTGAAGTCATGAATGATAATCAGTAGCTGCATTAGACATGACATCCCCAATTTTCGTGTTTCTTGGGAGTGGGGTGGGTGGCCTCTAGACTGAGGATCTTGTCCATGATTCATTCATCACACCAAGAGCACTGCATGCGACAAGCTCAAGGAGCCTTCTCCATCACAATCCCCTGTTTTAAAGGTGTGCATTTTTAGTGGGGAGCTCTCCATGCATGCTTCTCTTAAGGGTGTGATTTTTAGTGCGAGCTCTCCATCATGCCTCTTAAGGGTGTGATTATGGAGCGGTGAAAAGACCCCTATGGTGTCCATAGGGGAGGTCGATTTAGTAGTCTCCTGTAGCTTTATCAAATCTGAAAGCCGTTGGCTTCAGCAACTATACCGGAACGTCACTCCTTTCGGCTAACTTATCTTGATATGTTAGCTAGGGGTAGCAGTAGGCGACTCCTAGATCGCGGTTAGCTGGAGTAGGCGAGGTACGGTCCGGCATATTAGATAGTACAGGTACGTTCCGCAACTTAGATTAGTACCAGGGTACGTTCCAGCATATTAGATAGTACCAGGGTACGTTCCGGCATATTAGATAGTACCAGGGTACGTTCCGGCATATTGGATAGTATCAGGGTACGTTCCAGCATATTAGATAGTACCAGGGTACGTTCCGGTATACCGGACCGTACCCGGGGTACGTTCCGGCAGTACCCTGGGGGACATAAGGTGCGTTCACACGAACGTTTTTAGCCCGAGCCCAATTAGACCCGTGCCAAATTTGGCTCGAGCCGAGCGTTCACACGTACGGTTTTTCGGGCCGTGCCAATTTGGCACGAGCCAATTTGGTCCCATCGAAAACGTCGGACCAGGCCCGAGCCAAATTTGAGCAGCAAAGCAAAAAGCAAAATATAGCAGCTAAATCGGTTGAGCGGTAGATGCCGCGAGTGTCGAACGTGTACTTCGACGAAATAAAGTCCAAAACGGTATAAAAATTCGAAAAATTTGATCAGGATGCACGTTTTCAAGATTGATAATGGAACTCGGAACGGAAGTAAACACTCTGAATCATACACAGCGCCATCTCGCGACATACTGCCAAAGTATCTGTGAGATATTTGTGCAATAAAATTTATTTGAATTTGAATTTGAATTTGACAGACAGTATTCACTTGCGTACGTCTGAACGCTCCGACTCAAACCGGGACGAGCCAAACCATGACCGTGTGAACGCGGTAATACTAATAGACCCTCTCAGCCTAGCGGCAAGTCCCCTTCTCGCCTAACACTACGCTTGAACTACACGTTCCTCCGCCGTGTAACAGTCGGAGAGCCTGGTCGGTTTACTCTCAGCCCTACTACTACTAGTACTATAGCCCGACCAGGCTGTGCGACGGATTGTCTATACTTTCTTGTCTATATTTTCTAACCCTAGCAATACCGTTTCTTGGAGCTACTAGTACTAGTACTAGAGTGAGTATAGACCAATAAATTGTGCCCTAAAAATTTGTATATTCTGATGTTGTTTTTTGTCCTAAAATAACATCAGCATATAAAAATTCTTAGGGCACAATTTATTGGTCTAGAGTGAGTCTAGCCACAAGTTCCCATCTCGCTTAACACTACGTGGCGCGTGCCGCCGTGTAACTAGTCGGAGAGCCTGGTCGGTCTAGAGTGAGTAGTGACTGTGTTGGCTCACTCTGTTGTGTCTGTTTGGTTGTAATATTGTAAAGATACGTGCATTACAGAGTCAGTATATAAACTACGGGTACAGGGAACAAATCAACGGATAGCACATACATATGGAAACTCGACCTTTATGTTGCCCTGTAATTTACAGTGTAAAACACATAATTAATTTTTCCGTGTTGACTGTTGTCTATAAACGTCACACGCGTTTACGCAGTTACATTTTCACTGTACATAAACATAATGTTCTCTTGTTTATTGACGTGCCAAAATCAAACCAAACTAGTTTTTTCTTTTTATTATTTTATTAATAACAAAGACCATATTTTAGCTCTTAACTCACTCGCTCTTTAATATAAAATCTGAATGCCCTGCCAAAGTTTCTGCATTAGACTATCGATATTTTTTGCATTATCATCAGCGCCGTAAGCGTCATCGTTGTCGTCACGTTACGAGCGTATGTATCACAGTTCTGTGCGTTTACATAAGTGTTTACATGAGTTTGAATAATTTGTTATTATATATAATATATATATATATATATAAATTTATTATGTTTATTTGCGCGTTATGCTAACTATGTTTCATGTTTGTTTCGTGCTGTTCTTGCAGGATCAAGCATTGATCATAAAAACAGTAGGGGCCAAACTGCGCTCTACTGCATCTGTCTTCAAGGAAGAGAATCTTCCGTGGACGTCCTCTTGAGACATGGAGCTAACCCAAATGAGTACGTTTCCATGTTACATTTCCATGTTTCTCACAGTAATGTGTTGCAGATTGATATTTATATTGCCTCTTTATTTGTGACTAATCTAAACTATTTTTTTATATGATCATGATGATGAACAATATATATGTATAACTAGTATAAGTAAATATATTTGACATAATGATAATCAGATACAATAGTATTGCATGCATGTGCATACATGTACAGTGGTAAGAATAGTTCAGCGCAAGGGAGGAATTTTGTGAGTTTTCGAGCCTCCTCACTCGTGATTTCAGTATGAATCCAGAGAGCATCCGGATACAAGATTGCCTTGCGCAAAAGATGCGTTGTTCCCCGACCGCGCGAAAGCGTTAAGCCGCGCCGTGTTCCGCGGCGATCTTGGTGCGGCACGCGACGCGGGGATTACCGCCGCTATACGAACGATTCGCAGCGCCGAAGTGAAAGAGCGGCGCGCAAGAATGCGTATAGCGGGCAGGCCTACACTGCACTGTACTTGCAGCGTTTCAATAAAATGTCAAGCTAAATACAATACAAGTCACGGCGGCGGCAAAAACTCCCCCGAGCCAGCTCCAACGTGAGCGGCGGGGGAGGAGGGAGGCTGGAATGTTGCCCCACATGTAAAACTGCCAGCGCCACGCCAGCACGTGCTCGCACGACGTGCGTCGCCACGCGGCAGCGCGGGGTCAAGAAGGACATATCAAATTGGCATATTGCCATATCGCTGCGCATCTTACTCATCCGAACTCGAAGGCAATTCTCAGTCTAACAACCATAGACTCAGTCAGGCCCTGCGGGGAACTAAGATGGCTGGTGTGGAAAATTCTGTGGAAAATTCGCTCGGAAGAGAGCCTCGTCGCGCCATCTATGGACGCCATATGTACGAGAATAACTTCAGGTTATTAAATAAAATAATTAAATAAATTCGAAACGCGTTTTCTAGACGAACACCTAAACGCGCCAACCAGCAAGTTACAATTACTGAGCATTGCATTTATTCTCGGCCCTATCGTGCATAGTCGAAAAGCTTCTGCAAGCGCCACAACTCCTCAATTGACCGATAAGAGGCCGATCTGACAAACCGTGACAATTGATATTGACAGGAGCAAGCGAATTGGATGAAAAGGCGCCACGAGGTGGCGCTGTTCGCGCTTCGCGCGGATCCGGGCTGCAGACTGTCAAGCAGAATCATGCAGGGCCTAATCCAAGCCATTTTTCATACCGAATACCTGCGCCCAAATTACGACCCCTAGGAAAACGCCCAAATTACAAAATTCATAAAACGCCAAAAATTATTATTTTTAAATGTTATTATATGTACGTCTACACCATACTTACCACACCTTATACCACATCTACCTATACCTAAAAAATATTTTCGGCGAGCGCAAACCCCGGCCCCCAACGGTCCAACAGGTTTTTATTGGTCCAACGGGGGGGGGGGGGGGCAAAATATATTTAGCTCACCATGGGTGCCCATATTAAAGTGATTACATTACCATAATATTAAAAATAAAAACAATATTTCCACTTTTTCACAAAATATAAGTAATTCTGTTCACTTTTTATGGTTAAATTGCTGCATTATACTTCCTGTTTTACTATATTGTTTGATGTGAACATACACTCGTGACTCATACATAGCAAGCAATTAATGTCAGGAACATAATATCAAATCGTCCAGGTTTTTAGGATTTTTAACTAGTTGAGAAACAATCTTATCAGGTAAATGAATTTGACGATAACGTGTAGTCCCGTAGTTCCTTACTTTTAATGTAAAAAAATGGCAACAAAATTTTTACAAATTTTACCATAGAAAATTCGCAACTCAATCTAATTCGCGTCAATTTAAGCAGCTCGATTAGTCCCTGAGAATGCTCTGAACGTGTCATTATCTGAAGTTATGGCGATTTTTGTGAAGTTCTTGGATTCTTTTTTGGATGAAATAGTGAATCTGAACATGCATGCACTTCCTTATTGTCTTGCAGGAGAAGCCATGATGGTTCGACTGCTGTGCACGCTAGCTGCTGGCAAGGCAGTATCCACATACTGCAGCAGCTTATCTCCATGGGTGGTGATCTGCGTCTCCATGACAAGCAACAGCGCACACCGAGGGACTGGGCATTATTGCAGCATGACCCGCAGAAGCGGCGCAAAATGATAGAGTTTATCCATACATGCAGGTCAGGAAATTTTATATGGCAATGCATTAGTTGTTGTTTATGCAATCTTAACAAATTTTAATGAAAATGTCATAATCCAATGTACAATAGTATACATGAATTTTTTTTCAATTTTCGTTTAATTATAGGGAATTAACGGCAACTATAAAAGTGCAAAATGAAAAAATCATAAATGTGTGCTTCTTTGTAAGGCTATATATATATAATCAGGAGCAGATAAAGAAGGTATCTTCTTTATCTGCTCTTGATATAATATATCTATATATATATATTCTTTATCTGCTCTTGATATAATATATATATATATATGTATGTGATTATGCTATATCGGGATTGAACTGTCTGACTGATCCAGACCAGTAAAATCGTTCAGACCATCGTCCAATCATGTGGTAATGCTAGTAATTAATTGACCTGTTCATCTTACATGATTGACAGGTAGCTCTAGCTAATCAGTGTTGCTATATGACATTCTAAAAATTAAACTTAGGAAGTGTCACCAAGTTGATATTTTCGCAACAAACTTGGATGCACACATACAAACTGGTTGATCCTGACTGATGATAGAGACAATTAATATCCAATTAAGCTAGTGGGCAATTATCTGGCCCAAATCACTTGTCTCTCTCTACGTCTTCTTATGAGATGTGAGGCTGATCATCTTAGACTTAAAGACCTCACACCACCACTCACCAGAACTCCATCTAGTTGGTATATAGCTGACATAGCTACAGATACCAATGTCATTGTTAGCTAACCGGACGTCCTACTGTGTCCGTCTGCAGAATGTATGCGATGACAAACTCTGGAAGAGACCTGTTACTGGAGAGGCAGCCCACCTCCTATCACAACCTTGGCACCTCTCTCGTTAACTTGGTGACAGGTAGTAGTGGACTGGAGCTGAAGACGTCCTACAGTATGGGGTTCGGTAAGGTGAGTCTCTGGATAGTCAGTCGAGCTATTACTGAAATGTTGTTTAGTTACAGTAAAGTTTCACCCTGTTCGCTTATGAGTCTCTGGGGCATCTCTGGATAGTCAATCAAGCTGTTACTGAAAATTAATGAGAAAAATTTAGTGTTAGTGAAATTTTTTTAGTTACAGTAAAGTTGCACCCTGTCTGCTTAAATGAGATCTAGACAATCTCCCCTGTTCATTTGTCCAATGATATAAGAACACTATATTACCTGATTCCTGGTGTGTGTGTTCTGTGTGATTTAATGTACATAGCAACATAGTATACTCTTGTCATCATGATTATATCAGGAGTAAGATAATATAGGATATACTTATATTATACCTATATTATCTTACTCCTGATTATATCATATGAAAATGATCATCACCCTATGTGTATGATGTGCATCCTATTTAAGGAATTCATTGTATCACTCCTTGTATTGTAAAAGCTCTCACCATTATAAAGATGCAAGTATTAATTGATTTCCCTATAATGGAAAATGAGAAAAAGGCACACTGGCATGTGCGTGTCACACACAGTCCAGGAATTGCAAAATAATGCCAATCTTGTGGCAGAGCATCTACATTTGTAGTTGATGATAGTCTGTAATTGCACCCCCAGATGTACCTAGGTGGTGACAAACCTGGAGTAATGGCATCCATCCCACATGTGCTGCGAAGCACATTGAGACACATCGACAGGTGCACCTACTTCAATGGACCCTTCACACAGATGCAAGGGTAAAAATTTAGTATATAGAAGAGCGATGGTTTGATCATAGTGGTTTTGCATAAATTAGCAGCAGCTCATGCATATATAAGCAAAAATATGTAATTACTAGTATTGCATTGAATTTTGTATGTGTACTCTCCAAAGTTTTATAGATCTCCAGTAAAATGGGATCCTTGACATACACAGGCTTAGATTCACAACGTGTGCCATTTGTCTTCCAAACAGAATGATGTGGAAGAAGACAATGGTGACAGTGAAGCAGCTACGTGATGATACGCCATCTGGTGGTGTCGTTGACCTCCTTATCACAGAGTCTGAATACATGGGGTATGTCAGTACAGGGGTAGAAATTAACTTTTGAACACGGGAGTCAAACGGGCTCCCTACCCTCAAAAAGTGGGAGTCTGCAGCAAAATGAGGGAGTCCGCAGCAAAATGAGGGAGTCCGCAGTCTGAGGTTCAAAATTAAAGATATTAACAATAACGCATGTGCTTATTTTTAAGATGCATGCGGTTGCACGTCTGCCAAATTTTATTTGGAAATTAGCTGAAAAAATACAGTAATTCCACGAGGTCATGCTCCGGAACGAACTAGTTAGTATATGGCAGAATTTTCAGGGAGT